TTCTCGGTGCATCGTTCAGACCATAGACCGGTCTGAGACAAAGGCCAACCATCCAGGTAGGCAAACCGATGTCAGGAGGCAACTGAACCACAACCATGCGAGATGACAGATTGTAGTGTTCCCCCTGAAGGAAAGCGGTCTTAAGATCCAAATGAAAAAGATCCCAATAGTGATTGGCAGCGCACTGCGCAACCAAACGGAAACCATACCGAGTAGCCGTAGGGCTGTCCGTTTGTTGATCCCAGGCAAACTTGTCCTGAAACCCACGACAAACCCATCGGGCTTTGAACTTGGAAAAGTAACCGTTCTTGTCAACCTTCACAGTAAGGACCCAACGTCCGGTAAGAAAATTGACATCGTTTTTAAGCTTGCGACGGTCCGTCAGCCGAATTGCATCATTGTCCAAGTAACTCTTGAACTCCTCAAGTTTAGCCTTCCGAATTTCGGCGGCATACTTGCGCTGCATCTCCGGCGTGAGGGTACCTGCCTTGATTTTATCTTGTTTAGTCAACCACGACGCAAAACCATCACCATCCAACGGAACAAAGGACGGAACCTTGAAGTCCGACGGAAGGCGAATCAAAACGTCGTCGTCTCCAACAGCCAAAGCAAGCAAGCTTTCATCACGATAGTCAACCGTTGCATCCGAATCAGTATCCTCACCAGCTTCCGGCACCGGCGGTTCCGGGGTGGGTTCCGGGAGTGGGGTTTGCTGGATAGGAAATTCCCCCTCAGTCACCGGCAAACCAGGAACAGGAGCCGGATCAGAAGAAGAGGAAGCAGGCTCGTGAAAACCTGGAAAGTCACCCGACGGATCGGGATCCTTTTTTCTCGCAGACTGCCCAGGCAACAACACAACCGGAGGTCCCACAACAGTACGTGACTTGGCCTTAGACACATCTTCAGGATGTGTGCCTCTGGCACGTGTCTGAGACACATTGCGAGGCGACGGCGGTCGCATACTCTGGGGCACCGGAAAGTGAGGATGCGGCGGAATTGGAACAGGAACAATAGGTGAAGGTGGTGCCGGCCACGGCATCGGTGGACTAAGAACCTGATCCGGGTTGGCAAACTGAGGCGGAGCCCCAGGAGAATCGGGAGGACCTCCCGGAGGAGGCGACTCCTCATGAAACTCCATCGGAAGAGGAGGCTCTTCCGGTGACGGACCATAACCAGGTCCCGGTCCCTGAGGACCGCCTCCTGGCGGATGTCCATCACCGTCCGGATCGTGATCCAGGTCGGAATCATCATCTCCCCCTGGTACCGGTACATGAGTACCGCCTCCAGGAGGTTGTGACGGAGGGTCACCACCGACATGCAACTCAACAGGATTATCATCTAAATCCTGCTCTGGATGCTGTAGTGGCATTTCCTCATCGTCCACAGGCATATCACCGTGTGGATCATCATATCCTGGATAGTCCACATCGTCGTCTGTGGCTGGCGGTTGCGGTGCAACCGGGGCCGGCGCTGGCTGGTCCGTGAAGTCCAAGCCAACATCAGGCCCGCGTCTGGAATTGTTGTTCTGTGACTCATTCCAGAACACTATCATGGACCAGTGCGTTGATTGCATATCCTTAAGGCAAGGAAGCAACTGTGCCATCGTCACGAAAAACACATGATTCATATCACCCTTCTGCCACAAAATGACAACAGCATCAGGATGACGATGAACCAAAGGGAGTGTTTTCCCTTGAGTCCCCCTGTAGACGTTACAGTACTCAAACTCCAGATACGGCAGAGTTAGCACGCGCACATTCTTAATCATCGGCCGCAAGGCGACCGCGTCAGACGATGTGGTCGTGTGAACTTCCAACTCAGTACCTGGAAGGAGACTGTCAACATATGACAGAGTCTGGACCAAAGACGATGTAACAAACCGCTGCGGCGCAACAAACCTCAGAGGTGTCGGAAGCTTCCCTTTTTCATTGTTTGAGAGTAATGAGTACTCTGCTTCTGACGGAAGAACCGGTAAAGCCTCTGAATTGCGGTCAGATCGCAAACACAACGCACACAGTGTTCCATCATCAAAATCCTCAAAGATATCTTCGAACAAGTAACATTGTCGGAGATCTGATCGTTCATCACCCACAAGACACTGCGAAAGCAGCACAGCAAACCTCGGATCAAGTGCGTTAGCAGAGTCATAGCCATAGCCTTCTTCCAACGACTCCAAACGGCCAAATGATCCATCAGGCAGATTAGTGAGAAAAGAAAGCTCACCATGCTGACGCTTACCGTGGTCATCTCCCCCTGAAGGAAGTACACCACGGTTCTTGAAGGTGTGGAATGAAAGTCCTCTCCTCCACTTCAGCGAGCGACTACTCTGCGAAAGCCAAAACCCACAATGAGAAGGATACATGATGGTCACGAAGTATCCATCACCCTTGTCATCTTGCCAACGGCAGACTTCGGCACAAAAGTGCCAGAAGGCATTGGTGGCCTTCCTGGTCCAACCATCAGGGATGACAGGATGAATAAAAATGTGATTAGGCTCTGCCTTCAAGATCACTCGCCAAGCGGCCTCAATCGAAGATTGGATAGACTTGGCGTTCCATTCACCAAACAACACAGGTTCACTCGCATCAAGTCCAGAATGGACTGTGCACGCAGTAAGCCCGGTGAGGCGAGGTGTGATCTCAACGAAATCGCTCTTGCCTGAAGTGAGAGTGTGGTAACAGATCTCATGCTCATAGCAGAACCCAGAACCGGCACGATCAAGAATATCGTCGCCGATGCGGTCGAGTGCCTCTTCCTGAGAAGAGCGTCTCGGGACCTCATCTTTCTTCAGAGGAATGGCCACATCATGCCACGGATCTCCATCACGCCTGACCTTCGACTGATTAACCCGAAGAACGGCACGATGAACTTCAACCAACACCATGGCACCTTCCTGTGACACAACTATGCCTCTGACCCAGGTTCCTTCAGACTTCTTCTTCGACTCATCCTTATGCCAAACAAACACGCGGTCACCCTTCGAGTAAGGACCATCAGACGGCATGACTCTCCGTGCAAGGTCCTTCCGAAGGTCAAGTGATTGTCTAGCCTCTTGATGAGCCCGCATGGCAATCCTCTGGAGTTCCAGAGTGGTTCGATCCTCCTCGGCAGGTTCAGCAGAGAGCTGTTCAGGAGAACTGTTCTCGACATCAAACAAGTCTGGTGGCCGTCTTCCTGTAGCTATCTCCAAAGGAGAATAGCCTGAGACGGTAAGCTGGCAATTTCTTGCCCAAGCCACCTTCTTGACTGCTTGACGAACAGTCACCTTCTCTGCATAACCCTCATCAGCTAAGGCCTTGGCCATGATTGCCCAGGTGCGCTTGAAAAGACGCACTGCGGTCTCAGCTCGATTAGGCCAAGGAGTCCGTGGTCCACATGGATACGGAGTAATGCCATGGAACTTGTAGTAAGACATGAACTGCGGCGTGAAAAAAAGCTTGATCTCCTACGATTCCCTTAGGAACGCAGTTGTTCTCCTCTGTCCATTGTCTAAAAGCTCCCAGAGTCTCTGGCGCTTCCAGGCTTGTAAGAGCCGTAGCCCACAGAAGATTTGAAGCACCATCAATGATGACCAAAGCCAAGTAGGCTTTAGTACCGAACTTGATTTCTTCATGATCAACAAAAATGAGATCACCGAAGGATGATGCTCTTAACCCTGCGATTCTGGCTCGCGGAGGCGTAGGCACCGAGGTGCTGCAAACACGACAGCCTTTGACAATGCGGTCGTACTTGTCATAGATCTCTCCTGGCAGACCAAGCATGCTGGTCCTGCGTCGAAACTGAGCAGGACTCATGTGGTAATGCTTCACATGCAACTTGTAAAGCTCAACATCATTGTTCAGCTTTTCCAACATGCGCTGATACTGCGGAGAAGCCCTTGAGACCTCGTGGCCTGGCAACGGAAGCGCGATCCTCCTAGGTTCTAGCGACTGTGGCTCTGGGGCCTTCGGAGGACTCGGAGGAAGCAAATCTGCATCCCCCGGTTCGGAAGGTTCGTACTCTTGAAGATCCGGATCATCCTCAGGAGCAAGAGGAGGAGGAGCCGGTTCCTCGGGTGCCTTTCCCTGTGGAAAGCTTCCCTTGGCTCGAATCCTTCTCTTTGCCGGTGCCTTCCCCTGAGGAAAGCTTCCGGATGCTCCTGTGTTCTTCGAGCTGTCTTCAGGCTTACCTGCGCTAACCATGTCCTCTGGAGATCCTACCTTTCCACGGGTTGGATCCTTGGACTTGGCGGGCACCGAGGTTCTACTCTCGATGCCACCAGGCAGAATCTTGAAAATGGTCTTGCCTTTCCAAGAGTCAGTACCTATACATGGGTTTGTAGTACTTTTTTCTGGTTCCCTAAAAGTTGTGGGTCCTAACTAGTTTCCACGAAAATGTGGTTTCCTGTTCCGGGGTTTGGAGCAACTCATTTCTTGCAATGGATCACTTGTATGAAACGAAGTTGGAACAAAGAAAACACAATTAAACATATGACGAATATATCTAGAATATGTATATATATATGCATGTTCATGCAAATAATGTAAGTTTATGGAAGATCTATATAATAACATATATATATATATATATATATACATGTTGCTTGACATGCTGGCATGTTCTATAACATATCCTATGAACTATGTATATATATATATATATATATATATATGCATGATGTGTTGCTGCACTTGCTGTCATCTGTGAGTGTGGTTTGTCGCAGCTTGTGGGCTTCTTTTGTGAGCTTTGCTTAGTGCTCAGCTCTGCTTTTCCAAAGTTGCCTAGTTGAAGACAGTGGGAATATCATTCATACATGTATCGACTTAGTGTCTCTTGAGCCTCTTGATTCCCGTGCTGTGGATGATGGGCTGATGTCGGAAATGCCTGGAGCTCGGCCTTTGTGCACTCACCGTGAGCTTCTGTGGTTGACTTGGCTTGCTCATCTGTGAGTGTGTTTGTCGCAGCTTTTGGGCTTCTTTTGTGAGCGTTGCTTAGTGTTCAGCTCTGCTTTTTTCGGTGCCATGGAGCCTGGACCGATCAAAGAGTCGGAGGAGACTTTCTCAGAAGCTCTTCTGGCTCAGCTCCTGAAGGATGTTCATGCGGTGACTAGGCTGATGATTCATAGTGTGAGTGGACTGGGTGCTTGCTTCAAACAGACGACATATTAATAAATAAATATACATATATATATATAATATAATATATAATATATAATATATAATATATAATATATAATATATAATATATAATATAATATAATATAATATAATATATCTGTTCAGGACTGGATGGCGGAGCCTTCGTTGCAGGCGCTTGCACTGCAGGATAAAGAGCTCATCCAGTGGCCGGCGGATGAGAAGGGTCAGAAGCGCATCCCAACGGCTTTGGGGGCGAAGCTGAATCGTGTGCCTAGCCGACGTTTGTGCATAGAGTGCTGGGAGATATGCTGCATTCATCCAACATGGGGTTCCATTCATTCTGATGTGTAGCTAAGGCCCTTCTGCTTCCGATTGTGGGCCGTGCCTTGCAGCATCATGCTTTGCTCTATGTGAACATCTTGGAGATGCTGCTGAAAAAGTTTCGTGTTGAGACGAAGGTGGGGTAGCCTGATTTGGGGCAGAGGATTTGGCCGTCAAGACTAATTCGTATATGAGCTCTTGTATGGTGCAGGCCCAGCACCTCAAGGTGGACAAGACAGAGGTGCATTGTGGCTGCTGGTTTGTAGTTTTGCAGCAGGTTATGGGTTCATGCAGTGAGTCGAGATATGCAATATTTGGACAGGTCAAGATTGATGCTACGTCTGTGAACCCGGATGCGCATGCCATCAAGGCGTTTGTCAACTGCCATCGCCGATGCTTGTCAAAGTTATGATATTCATATATAGGTTTATGACTAGAATACAAATATGTATATATAAACAGAACATGGACTATACATATATATGAATACAATATGCTTGTGCGCATATACAAACACAGCAAGGGAGCGAGAGAGAGAGAGAGAGACAAAGAGAAAGACAGAGAGAGAGAGAGACAAAGAGAAAGACAGAGATTGAAAGAAGAGAGAGCTACACGAACCTATGCTGTATGCATAGATCACTGTTATATAGACTGTGTTTACATCCCACATGGTTGCCCACATGTATTTCTACAGTATATATATATATATGTATATATGTCTACATGTTTTGATTATATCAGGAACATATTCAGTGTAGGAATGTGGCTCTATAGAACACATATATATATATATATATATGTACAGTATACTTTGTACCTGTACTGTCTCTCTCTTTCTCTCTCTCTGCACCTTTATGTTTACATATAGAAAATTCTTGAGGGGGTTCGAAAGTTCCATGGGGCTAGGTAGTTGACTTGAAGACAGTGTGTGGATGTATAGATAGATTATATGGAGCCGTTTCATGAATTGCTTAGATTTTTAAGGACTGGCTGATCGTTCGGACACCCAGCGAGATGCTGATGTGCAGAAGCTTACAGCACCTCAGCTGGATCTTGGCCCATCAACATGTAAAAGCAATTTTTTATGCAAGTGGTTGGTTAATCACCGTCAGGACATGTGCCGGTATGTGGCGCGCCAGATGGAGAACAACGAGGTGCCATATGTGGTGAAGATGGTGCGTGGCCGGGATCCGAATTCTGTGGACATCGCTTTCCGAACGGAGCCGATTTGGAGGACCAAGTCGTACAAGCAGAAGGCTGGGGCAGCGGACCCTGATGCATTGCAGGATGCTCCGATGGAAGAGGTGAGCCAACATGTTCCAGATGCGCAGGAGTATGTCATGCCGGATTCCTTCCCGGAAGATATGTTGTATGAGCCACGGCCGGTTGCAGATGCAGCAGGGTCCAGCACTGATGGCCCTCCGGACCCTTTGGATGCAGCCATGCCGAATTTCGACCCGTTTGCCATGCCGATTGAAGAGGAGCTTTTGGATGCAGGCATGCATGGCTCTGGACATGCAGCCATGCCGATTGCGGATGGCCCAGCGATTGAATCCATGGTTGCGGATGTTCCGACTGCAGCTGGCCCATCGGTTGAAGCTGTGATGGATGGGATCCCACCAGAGCATGAGACAATGCAGGAGAGATACAATCGCCTCGCGGACACGTATGGTGAATCGGCTGCCCTTGCTTTGACTGGCATGGTGCAGGAAGGCTGGCATTATGATCCAGTTGCCCAGCAGTGGTCCCAGCTCCATGGGTTCGTGAGCCCACTCATGCCTGCCAGAGCCCCTGATGCTCCAGTGGCAGAGACTTTGCAGGACTCGGAGGTTCCGGCCATGTGTGTTCCTGGTGAGCGTGCCTTTGGCTTGGATGATCGATTGTTTGAGACGCTGAGCATCTCATCGGGTCTGCCCTCTCCGAAGGGCATCGGGAACAATGATGTTCAGGAGACTTTGGCTGATCAGCCTATGGAGGCAGCTGAGGGCAGCCCAGTCGGCGCAGGTCATATGATCACACTTAATCGGCAGCTTTTTTTTTTCGGGAGGGGGGACAGAGAGTTGCATGCATGGTTTGATTTTGCTAGTTACAATACCTTTTGTTATATCTGGTTTATACACCAAATTTACATGTATTATATGTGATATATATATATATATATATATATATGTACATAGATATATACAGTCACGAGTAGGTTTGTACAGTTGTTCATGTTTAGTTTGTTTTGCTGACTTGCTGCATGCATATATGTTTGCATGAGGTATGTCACTATACATCAATGCAACTTTACCCGAGTTATTGCTGTGGCCATTATATAAGTATCCGAATGAGCATGAAGCTGTCTGTATGTCTGTCTCTCTATATTTATACAATAGATTCAACAGTACATATATATATATATATATGTGTGTGTGTTCGTATACATATATATATATATATATACAATATACATCTCTCTCTCTATGTGTATATATGTGCACGTGTCTGTGAAGATGTCTGGTATGCCAATTTGACATTATGCGTGTGCCTCTGCTTGACAACTCCTTCATACATAATGTGTGCATGCACACACACACATATACATATACAGTACGCACATGTGAGATATAATATGTCATAAGACTTGTTATATGTATGTTTATAGATCTCAGATGTATTACAATAGACAAAAGTTTCCAATACCGATGATGTCTTGTTATTTAGGCCTGACGGTGCGCTTTTGGAGAGATTGCTCACATATTGCAGTGATTCATGACTCCATGGTTGCATGTGGAATCATGATCAACATTTCCCTGATACTGCTGGTAATACTTGGCTGTATCTGATTAAATAAACTTCCAGGGTGAGCTCATGTATCCAGGCATGGCCATTTTGTGCATCATGAAGGGCTCCATGTCTGCATACTTGCATGGCTAAACTTGTGCACCTTGGAATGATCATAGCCTAGCACACTCAGAGACCTGAGGCAATGAGTCTGTGGAAGAGGCGAAGATGTTTCTTTTGCAGAAGCTGCACATGCAGCGTGAGAGGAGACTCTCTGCATCTGAAGTTTAGTGGTGGGGCTTGTGGAATTGTGATAAGTCCTGCTCCACAGGATCATGGCTGGAAGCATGCCAGACAATGTGGAGACATGCCCCATGGCCCCTGATGTTGCCAGTGCCTCTTGGCCATTCCATCCAGGTATTGAAGTCATGGATTCGTTTGGTTGCACCAGTGGCTTACCATGAGTAAGCTGAGGATGCTTTGGAGAAGCAGCGGCTGTTCAATGGCTCCTCTCGTGAGGTCCCATTCTGTAATGGATGTTACATGGTTTCATGTTCCTATCCTTGACAAGTGATAGGCCTTCCCGAGCCAGATCAAGATTAACGACACGCCCGATGGCCATAACGAGACTCTTGGCTTGCACAATCCTGTTTCTGAGTGAGCTTGACAAGTCAAAGTGCAGGAACATGCCAATCTCTCACACTCTCTCTCTCTCTCTCTCTCTCTCTCTCTCTCTCTCTCTCTCTCTCTCTCTCTCTCTCTCTCTCTCTCTCTCTCTCTCTCTCTCTCTCTCTCTCTCTCTCTCTCTCTCTCTCTCTCTCTTGTATCTATATATATATATATATACAAATACCCGATATGACACCCTGTCGGAACATAGAAAATAACATACTCGTAGCTGTGCATGTGATGTTGCAATTCCTGCATGCTAGTGTGCTATCCATGCAGCTGGGCTTCCAACCTGTTGCAATGTTTCTTCACTGTCACAAGTGACGGCACAGGATGATATGTTTACCAGACCACATTGATTGTACGACAGAGTATACCTAGTATTTTTTAAAGTGTTCAATGTTATCGTCGTTGTTTGGGTTACAATAACAATATAATACTTATATAACATCATATAACATGTACCAAACTTTTTTATATATACCTGTAGAAGTGAAGGCATCTAAGATATTATATACACATGTGCTGATGGTTATTGTGTGTGCATGATCATGCAGATGTGGGACAAGGGTTTAATATATATATATATATATATATATACAGAAATATATACGTGTCGAGTTTCATACCTATAATAAATATAGTATTGTGGATAATTTCATATATAATACCAATGTAATATTCCAATATATAGATGCCCATCAATCTACATATCTATATATATATATATATATATAGACCCTTGTATTATGTGACTATCATGACACACATGTAGCATAATTGCCTTGAGGCCTCCATTCAAAAGATCTTTGGCCAGAGACTTCGAGAAAGTCTCTGAGGATCGGCGCCAGGAGCTGCTGGCAAGTGGGCCAAGTCAGGACTTGTTGGCAAGTGGGCCGCAGGAGGATCTGTTCGCAAGTGGGCCGCAGGAGGATCTGTTGGCAAGTGGGCCACAGGAGGATCTGTTGGCAAGTGGGCCACAGGAGGATCTGGCAAGTGGGCCGCAGGAGGATCTGGCAAGTGGGCTGCAGGAGGATCTGTCGGCAGAAGGGCCGCAGGAGGATCTGTCGGCAAATGGGCCGCCTGAGGCACAGGATGATGACATGCATCAGGGTCTTGAGTCATGTGGGCCAGAGTTGCCACCAGCTGCCCCGCCGTGTGAGCCTACAGAGGCTATGGATCCGGAAGATGTGCTAGATGTGCACAGCCAGGAGGAAGTGATGGCACATGACATGCAAGTGGAATTGCGAAAGAAGAGGCAGCTGGAACTCAAGCGACGCCGTGAGAACGATGCTGCTGTGAATGGTCAGGCCAAGAAGCCGAAGGCGACTGCAGCTAAGAGGATCATGAAGCGCCCGGCTGCAAAGCAGGCTGCTCCGGAAGAGCTTCCTGAGGATGGCTTGGCAGCGGGTGTGGCAGAGATTGCGGGGCCCTCTGCTGCTGGGGATGGCGTGGCAGCGGCTGCGGCAGAGATGGTGGAGCCACCTGTGGCTGAGGCAGAGATGGCGCCACCGGCTGCTGAGGATGCGGGAGTGGAGCCTGAGCCGAAGGCTAAGGGGCGTGGCCGTGGCCGTGGTGGACGTGGGGGTCGCAAAGGACGGATGATCCAAGAGGCTCCGGAGGCGAATGATGAGGTATCGGCTGCTGAGCCAAAGGCCAAGGCCAAGCGACGTGGCCGTGGTCCGGAGGCGAATGATGAGGTATCGGCTGCTGAGCCAAAGGCCAAGGCCAAGGGACGTGGCCGTGGTCCGGAGACGGATGATGAGGCATCGCCTGCTGAGCCAGAGGCCAAGGGCAAGGGACGTGGGCGTGGGCGCGGTGGCAGGAAGCCACAGGATGCAGAGCCTCGTGGCCGTGGTCGTGGAGCTGCACAGCGTGTTGCGGACAATGATGTGCCAGCAGAGGAGGAGGAGAAGACCCCCCCCCGTAAGGGGCTTTCGGATGAGCAGAAGAGGATCTGCAGGGAGTTGCTTGGCTGCTGTAGCATGAGCTTGAGTCGGTATTCGTGACACTTCCATGTGGAATATGAATATTCATGCTACAAGTTATCTGTGATAGTGCATACTCACGGCCCAAATGGTATACTTGTTTGTGCATGTACTCATGCATGTACCTGTACCTGAAGCATGCCACTTGGTATATGGTTAAAACCAGATATGCATATATATATATATATATATACAGATGTAATATACATCTACATCCAAATCTATATCGGGATCTATATCTAAATCGATATCTATGTCTTTTTATATATATATATATATATATATATTATATACAGATCATTGTGCATGCATGCTTGAAGCATGCACTTGGTATATGGATGAGAGCATATATCTACTCATATAAATATAAATATATATATATATATATGTATATATAATGTAGTTCAGATCATTGCACAAGTGTATGCATGGGTATGGGGGTGTATGATGTCATAGTGGTGGGTTGCTAGAATTGATTGTGCACTGGACAGCTCAGAGAGGCTGATATTCGCTCAATGAAAGAGATTTGTTTTTAGAAGTCTGTATGTATATAGTATATATATATATATATACTCAGTATCCATACAATCTATACATTATATTATTCAGATATACAATCGTATATATATATATATACATAGAGAGAGAGAGAGAGAGATATAACATCTGTGTGTAGCTTCTTTGGGCAGTGTCATGTGTGCCCTCATCGCAAGAAGCTGTGAACTTCAGGCTGGTTCAGCAAGGTGCGAATTACCGTCTCGAGCTGTACTGGACGCGAGGTTCCATCGGTGTTCGGCAGAAGAATGGGCCCCAGGTTTGGAGCATGACATTCGGGAACATGAAAGTCGGCATCCTCGTGGCCAATGAGGTGGTGGCTCGGCAATGGTATGCCTTCTAGATTACATGCTCTCATGCTCTGAGCAGTGCAAGTCTTAGGGCAGGCATTGTAAGTTGCAATTGCCATAACACAACATGGTGTTGAGGTCACATTGTGTGACAGAGATGTGAACATCAATGCTGTGGAAGTGCGCGAGAAGATCATGGAGTATCGTGCAGAGCTGGAGGCTAGGCATGGTGCGAGGTGGCCATGAGCAAAGCTCATCGGGCATCACTTTTGAGCAAAGGGATGAGCTTGTCCATTGCAAGGAAGTGTGCATACAGCATAAAAGGATGGTGGTAATATTCCCAGGAAGGATTGCTGTTTGGGCAAGCCGAGCCCTTCTTGCTGGAGGATTGGCAATGCGTGGGGATAGTATAGGGCTGTGTCGATACCAAGATAGGATGCAGGACCAGGCCAGCTGTGTCGCAGAATATGCGTGGAGATGAGCCTATAGACCCTGCTGCTGAACCAGTGGTCTTATGACTTACTGGCTGGGGTGGTGTTCCGCAGCCTCTGAACCTTACGTGCCACAGGGGATCCTCTAGATCGTTCTTGAAGCTCCGTGTGCTAGATGGAGACCAAAAAAAGGAGCTATTGCAGAGTGTGATCGTTTCGTCGGCTGACTGCTGCAAGTGCATGTGTGATGCTATACAATATATGTGTGCAGAGGCCGGTTGAGTGGATGTTGATGCTCTGAGGTCAGATACCACTCATGCCTGGGGGCAAGCGCCTGCTGAGACTTGCCTCCCAGTCGGATGCAGGTGGGCTGGGCATATCCTCAGCAGCAGAAGAATTATGAATTGTTTTGGTCTACGCAGGACAGCTCAGAGGTGAGTCTCTTCGGCAAGGCCGGTCCCGTCTTGGCTGCGGGAACATCTTTTTAATTATGAAACAACACCGGCCTGGTGTCTAGACCTGAAGACAACTGTTTCTGCATACTTCGATGAGCATGACATCTTTATAGCTTATGCAGCTACATGTGGAGAACCCAGTAGTTGGCCTTGGACTTATCCTGAGGATCTGTAGTTCTTCGTCTCATGTACATAAAATGATTAAATAAATAAATAGAAATATATACATATAACAAGTCTGGGTGCTATATGTGCTTGTAAAGATAGCATGCAATGCCAGGTGCCCAATCCTGTGGATCTCGAGGTCCTGATGCTGATCAAGGTTGCAACCGTGCGCCAAAGCTCATGTTGTTCAGTGGTGCAGTTGCCAGCAGTTTCTGTGTTTTGAGTCATGAATGTATATGTGTATATATATATATATATTGTATATGTATACACTATGAATTTCTGTACAATCAAGACAATTAGTGTAATCTGTCGGATATGATATACTATATCTTATACTTGTCATGACCTCAAATGGCTGTATGCTGGGACCATGTCTGGTGTGCAGCTCTTTGGCTTAATTAGCTTAGCTTCTGTATAGTTCCCAAGATACACCTCTAGCAATTTATGTATAGTGCTATCTTATATAGATGCATGTTATATTCTCAAAGTGAGGCTGTCGTTGTAAGATACAGATTCTGAGCAGTCTTGATAAATCTGCTTGAGTGGCAATATCTCTCTCTGTCTCTCTGCAACTGCCCATCATGCACATGTGGCACTCGATGGAGCCCTAAATAGTGCTTTATCTACATCGATGCGAAGACCGGGCAGTCTTCTCTGGACTTGATAGTTATAGATAGCTGCACCCACCATGCCTGAATGGTCCTTGGATGTTCTTCTACGGAAGCTTTATCGTGCCAACATCCCATTTGCCTGCTGGTTGCAAATAGAGTCTCTTCTGGCTTTCTGCAGATCAGCATGGAAGTACAATGGTTCACAAATGAGTCTGTCAAGGTCCTATGTGTGGTCATCCTGCTCTTGATACACAATGCAGATCTGGACAAAACCTGGGCTGCATGGCTGCAGGGGCATGTCGAGGGTCTTTTCCGGTATATACATGTCTACAATATATGTATACAATTCGTTTTTGCATATATATATATATATGTGCACGTACATGAATAATGTATACACACCTCAACATGCATATCTATATCTTCATCTGTATATATATTATATATAACATACGAATGTGCATGGTTTATATATCTCAGTGTTTGTGTTCATACATGTATGCATTGTGCTGCTGTGAGCCAAGGCTGTTCGTCTAGTGTGTTCTCAAAAAAGCAGTGCAAAGTGAGAGTACAAGTGCAGAGTTGTTGCATAATATTATGATGTGCAAGAACTGGAACTGAAAGATGCTCTACAGATATGCTTAGATGTGTATAGAATATATATATATATATATATGTACACTATGAACTTATGCCAAGTAATGATAAATGCATGCATTAAACGAATATGAAACTGAAGCCTCTTCTGACTAGCTGGTGGGTGACTCAGGAGTACATGTATAGGTATATCTGTATCTGTCTGTACTATCTTTTGTGCACACAACACAGTGTTGTCTGCATGTCTCATTGAGGTTTACCGCTTCGGTGAGCTTTTTGCTGGGGCAGCGAATGTCACTACTGCTGTGAAGCTCCATGGCATTCCTGCTTTCAAGATGGACAAAATCTATTACGGGGGTTTCGATTTCTTGGCACCGGCTGGATTCTCGTTCCTGGGCTGCTTTTAATGCAAAAAGGATCAGACCTTGACAGTTTCAATGCCATGCAGGTGTGGTTGCACATGTTTTATGGCATCTTCTTAGGCTGGCATTGCTGTCCATTCTACGTATGGCCCCTCAAAGTGTACTGCTTATGGCCCCGGACTGCAGCAGCTTCTCTTGGATGAGTAGCAGTGGATCTCAACGACACTGGTTTGCTCCGTTGGGTGATACTTCGAAGGATTGGGTGGTCCGGGGCAACCAGATGGCTGCCAGGTGCTGTGTGTGAACTGATTTCCAGACCTGGTTTTGGGCCAAGTGGGTTTCCTGAATATGTAGTATGTATAGCCCGTAACTGTCATTGTAATGTGACCCTGGTCAGGGTCACACTCTTGGCCCACCTCGTGGCAGCGCTTGGGCATGTCTTCATCATTGAGCAGCCTGGCAGTGCTGCATTCGGTCACCTTCCGTTGTGGCGGCGCTTTGTTGAAGACTGCTGCTATGTAACTCGAACATCTCAAAGACAGCTAAATGTGGGGTATGCAGTTTCAGAAAACTATATTATATACTTGCATGTAGTGCAGACATATACATGCATTCTGTGTCTACAGTTGTGCTTCCTGTGCTGCTCACAGGTCTATGTTTTACAGGTGTGTTATCCATGGTGCAGGTACACCCCTGTATGTGTGTTTGTGTGTATATGTCCATGAATCGTATCTGATATATATATATATATATACTTGAATCTCGAGTGGCCAGGTGAAAAAAAGAAAGAGCTTTTTGTCTTTTTTCCTATTTTGTAGTTACAGGAGGATATGGGCTTGTTGATTTCAGCATTTGATTCCAGACGTCGATAAAACGGAATGCAAACGATTTGTAACATGCCTTTTTCGAGCATGAGGTCTGACACGAATCAATACGTTTGCAGTGCACTCTGACCTGGGGCTGGGGCCACGGTACAGTTCTGTCACTGGTCTACACGGGACCCAATTAAGTCTGCACCGGGCAGCCCGAGGTCGTCTGACAAAGTCTTGCGATTCTTCAACGGATTGCGCAATGTGCAGCCTGTGTCTGACTCGTCTGACGATGTGGGCTACTGCCGTAACAAACGATCTTAGCAGCGTTTCACTTCATAAGGAAACATAATACGAAGTGAGACCCAGGCTGCACTTAAATCTGCAAGAGGCACGGATCGGAACCTGAAAGAGGACGATACTCGTCGTCCTTCAGGCTCCGATCCGTGATTCAAGCATGCAACGAGTGCTCCTCAGACTTCTGAATCACCTCCCTTCCGGCAAGTGATTCACCAGCGCAAGAGGTGCCATTCTGAGGCCGTTGTGGTTTAGGGCTTGGTGTTTTTCGGGTTTAGGGCATGAGGGGCTGGACAGTTTCGGTTTCTTTTGCGCAAACGGACAGCCGCAGAGACACTGGCTGGGCCAACCAGTGTCTCTGGGCTGGTCCGTTCGCATTTCTGTGGGGCGCTGGTCGGCTTTTTTGGCAAACGGACAGTGCCAGAGACACTGGGTGGGCAAACCAGTGTCTCTGGCACTGTCCGGCACTGTCGTTTGGTGTTTTTAGGGGTTTGAGGGGCTGGAGGGAGGAGTTTCGGCGGTTTTTGTGCAAACGGACAGTGCCAGAGACACTAATTCAGCCAACCAGTGTCTCTGGCACTGTCCGTTTGGTGTTTTTCGGGGTTTGAGGGGCTGGAGGGAGGAGTTTCGGCGGCTTTCGTGCAAACGGACAGTGCCAGAGACACTAATTCAGCCAACCAGTGTCTCTGGCACTGTCCGTTTGGTGTTTTTAGGGGTTTGAGGGGCTGGAGGGAGGAGTTTCGGCGGCTTTTGTGCAAACGGACAGTGCCAGAGACACTAATTCAGCCAACCAGTGTATCTGGCACTGTCCGTTTCGTGTTCTTAGGGATTTGAGAGGCTGGAGGGAGGAGTTTTGGCGGCTTTTGTGCAAACGGACAGTGCCAGAGACACTAATTCAGCCAACCAGTGTATCTGGCACCGTCCGTTTCGTGTTTTTCGGGGTTTGAGGGGCTGGAGGGAGGAGTTTCGGCGGCTTTTGTGCAAACGGACAGTGCCAGAGACACTAATTCAGCCAACCAGTGTCTCTGGCACTGTCCGTTTGCATTTCTGTGGTGCTGGTCTGCATTTTTGGCAAACGGACAGTGCCAGAGACACTGGGTGGGCAAGCCAGTGTCTCTGGCACTGTCCGTTTGGTGTTTTTGGGGGTTTGAGGGGCTGGAGGGAGGAGTTTCGGCGGTTTTTGTGCAAACGGACAGTGCCAGAGACACTAATTCAGCCAACCAGTGTCTCTGGCACTGTCCGTTTGGTGTTTTTCGGGGTTTGAGGGGCTGGAGGGAGGAGTTTCGGCGGCTTTCGTGCAGACGGACAGTGCCAGAGACACTAATTCAGCCAACCAGTGTCTCTGGCACTGTCCGTTTGGTGTTTTTCGGTGTTTGAGGGGCTGGAGGGAGGAGTTTCGGCGGCTTTTGTGCAAACGGACAGTGCCAGAGACACTAATTCAGCCAACCAGTGTATCTGGCACTGTCCGTTTCGTGTTTTTAGGGATTTGAGGGGCTGGAGGGAGGAGTTTTGGCGG